GCTGACAGCCAGGTAAGACCTGGCAACCGAATTTGGAATTGTTGTATGAATTAGAGTACATGGATATTAGTATCTTTACTAAGTGCTGAATAGTTATAATATATTTCTTGTAATTTCATAGAATCATAGAAGAGTTGGAAGGGGCCATACAGACCATCTAGTCCAACTGCCTGCCCAATGCAGGACCAGCCTAAAGCATCTCTGGCAAATATTCGTCCAGCCTCTTCTTGAAAGCTGCCAGTGAAGGGGAGCGAACCACCTCCCTAGGCAGCTGATTCCACCTTTAAACCACTCTGACCATGAAAAGGTTTTTCCTTCTATCCATCTGATACCTTTCTGCGTGTAATTTAAACTAGTTGCTTCTGGTCCTATCCTCTGCTGCCAACTGGAACAGCTCCTTGCCCTCCTCCAAATGACAGCTTTTCAAATATTTAAAGAGGGCAACCATGCCCCCCCCAATCTCCTCTTGTCCAAAGTAAACATTCCCAAGGCCCTCAGCCTTTCCTCGTAGGGCTCAGTCTCCAGACCCCTGATCATCCTCGTCGCTCTCTTCTGCACCCTCTTGATTTTGTCCGCATCCTTTTTGAAGTGAGGCCTCCAGAACTGCACACAGTACTCCAGGTGCGGCCTGACCAAGGCAGTATACAGAGGGGCTATGACCGCCTGCGATTTCGATGCTATGGCCCTTTTAATACAACCCAAGACTGAATTTGCCTTTTTTGCCACCGCATCACACTGACTGCTCATATTTCGTTTACAGTCCACCCTCACCCCAAGATCTCTTTCGCATTCACTACTCCCCAGGAACTTATCCCCCAACCAGTATTTGTGCTTGACATTTTTGTGCATTTATCTTTGTTGAATTGCATCCTGTGTGCAGCTTGTTGAATTTTAACTCTTATCTTCTTGAGTGTTTGCTACTCCTCCCAATTTGGTATCAGCAAATTTAATGAGTAGCCCCTTCTACCCCTTCATTCTGATCATTCACTTTTTTTTCTTGCATTTAACCTCCATGTGGGGCCTGGAGATTTCCTGGAATTACAACAGATCTCCAGACTGCGGAGATCAGATACCCTGGAGGGAATGGCTGCCTTGGAGGATGGACTCTATGACAGGGCTACCATATTTTGAAAAGGGAAAAAGAGGACAGGCTTCCCGACTGACTACTTCAAGCAGGCAATCACTATGACGAATCTCATTTTAAATACCCCCTGCTATTTAAGCCGTGATATTTGCTACTAACTAGGAATATTCATAACCTCCCTGTCCAAAAAGAGAACATTTCCATCTGTTTTTTTAAAAAGACCCTGAAAGAGGACAGGCACCAAAAAAAAGAGGACATCTGGTCACCCTACTCTGTGGCATTTGTACCCCACTGAAGTCTCTCCCTTCCCCAACACCCCCCCTCTCATGTTCCACTCCCAAATCTCCAGGAATTTCCCAGCTCAGAATTGTCAAGAATAACACAGTAAAACGACTAGAGCAGCAAAACCAGAATTTAAAAAAGAAATGAAATTGTAGAAAGAACATCCAATTAAAAATTCCAATTGAAATGTTAAAAACACTAATAAAAAATCACAGCTTCAGGACCAAGCAGAAGCCTTTTAAAGCAATGGTAGCATAAAATACAAAATGGCTGATAAAACCTCACAAGGGGAGAGGAACATCTAAAGCGGGGGTGTCAAACGTGCGGCCCAGGGGCCGGATGAGGCCCCCGGAGGGCTTCCATCAGGCCTGCAGTGGAACTGACCATCTCCTGCTTCCAGTTCTGCTGCTGCTGCTGCATCATAGCTTGCTTCGCCAGACTCTCTCAATCGCTCAGCCATTTCATGTTTTAACCTGGGTCCCAGACTCAGAACTCTGAGCATGAGATTTCTGTGGTGAATGTCAATAAATCAAAAGTAGGTTTGCAGCTTATAGAGCTAATGTTTTAAGCATGTTTTTATTTTAAGTAAAAAGAAATCTTTGTGTCTGTGTCCTTTATAAAGTTTATATCTCAGCTACCTGGCATTACATTTTATGACACACATGGCCCGGCCCAACAAGGTCTCATTTATGTCAGGTCTAACAAATGAGTTTAATCTTTGTGTCTGTGTCCTTTATAAAGTTTATATCTCAGCTACCTGGCATTACATTTTATGACACACATGGCCCGGCCCAACAAGGTCTCATTTATGTCAGGTCTAACAAATGAGTTCGACACCCCTGATCTAAAGGGCTAGGGTTTTTTAAAAAAATGCCTTTCTTTGTGTCTGGAATGTTTGTCACCTGGTGAGCT